ATCACAGGCAAATTATTTTATTCTATCTATTTTCGAACTAGAGGTGTATGGGATCGAGCATTTTTTGCTTCCAGTCTGAAGGAAACTATTTCAGAATCTATACGTAGTAAATCTAAAAAATTCTTCAACATTCGTTTATTTTTATTTATTTAATCGACAACAAGCACTTTTTTGAATCAATCCTCTTCAGTTATGTTCTAATAAATATAATTTATAAGATACGTCACTGAGGATCATAAAATATTCAACTATAATCAGTAGTCTCAATAACGTCTCTTTTCTATGGTTCTGAACTTGGTCCCGATAACTGAGTTTAGGACTAAAATTGGATCTGTACGTCTCTATCTTTGAAATAACAAATGATTCTAATACATATTAAAAAAGATTAATGTACATGATCAGTTCTAGAAGTAAATTAACTCTTTCAAGACAATGGTATACACATCATGTTACTTGCTTGATCATAACTCATTTTCTGTCTTCTGTATGCTACATTGAAATGTATTTTAACTACTTCTATGCTAAAAGAATTAAAATTATGGTTTACAATCGAAAGAACAACAACTGACTAGATTCTTATAATATGCAATAGTTTTCTTCGTAAATTTTGTACAAACCTTAAAGCTCCAGTAGCCATGGAATCCGATGAAAATAGACTATTACGAGGATCACGTAGATTTTCACGTAATTTTTTATCAAGTTTCTAAAACAATCAAAAAAAAAATAACAAGTTTTTATTTTATTTCATTTTTTTTCGAAATAAAGTAAACAAACTTCGCCAACAATTTCTGCTGCTTCACCTTTGGGACATCGAATAATAGGCACTGAACCTAAATAACTAAAACCTTGACTTTGATTCCTAATAAATTTTTATTCTATACCAAGTGTAACACACACTGAAAAGAGACTATCAACAATAGTTCCAATAATTTGTTCCATTTCAACATCAAGCATTTGTGGTCGATTAAGAGCTGAAAAAATTTTAAATATATATTTCTATTCTTTGTTTTAGAAAATTATTTACCATAATACGATATACTATCTCTTCCTGCTTGTCTCAAACAAAAAAGTTCATCTTCAAGTGTAATAAAATCAAGATATTGATCATAGATCTAATACAAAGTAATAATAAATATAAGTTAGTAAATATTTAATTATTTTTTGTTGATTTTTACTTTAGATATATTTTGTTGACAATTTGATTCAAGTGCAGCTGTTGCTAAATCTTCAAGAAGATCACGTGGTATTGGAGCAACAAAATTTAAATAATATGATTCATATAAACCTTCTGCTAAATCCTACAAATAATTACACAAAAAATATATATAACGAAATATTTTATTAGAATAAAATCTATTTACTTTTGCTATTCGAGATATATTATCTTTGGTTGGCATAATAAAATATACTGCAGCAATATCATCAACAGGATCCCGATCTGATTTTAATGATCTATCAAATATAAAATAATAAATGTATTTATTTTTATGTTTCCATTTTATCTTAAACAAAATTATTTACATATGTAATGTTACACCAAGATCACGAAGTTCTTTAACAGTAAGTAAAGGTGAAATAATATCTTGACCTAATTCATCATAAATAAGAACTTTCCAAGCTAAATCTATACCAGTTGGTTTGATTAGTGTTGAAGGGGCAGTATTTAAATTGAGCATTTGTTTTAGAGTAGCTATATAAACAAAAACATTAAAAAAATAATAAAATTATTTAACTTTTTTTGCTTAAGTAAAATGAAAATTTAATTTAGACATACCAATATGACGATCACGCAAAGATAATGGTGCAATTGATGGAGTGGCCATATTTGTATGAAATCAAATAAATGAAAGAGTAGGCAGTCTAGCAATTTATGAATAGGACAAGTTGTGGCAATGGCAGGCGAATTGAGTACATTCGTTTATGTATTCGTTAGGTTTACTCATCCATTGATACAACACACTTGGAAAAGAGGGCGCTATAAGACGTAGATCCATTCGCTGAACTAAAAGTAACTTTTCTGCATACTATCTAAATAATATCGAAAAACAACGCAAGAAGTCACTAGAAGTGTAGAAAACGTTATTTCTGGCGGTTGTTACACTTCTTCTTCTAATTTCAAACTTAAATTTATCATTCGAGTACTTGAATTTAAAATTGTTTAACTATTGAGATGTACTACTTGTTTTGGCATGCATTTCTTCTCTATAGTACCCAAACCTGCTGCAATGCACTTTGTCTTCGGCTTTAAGTATGTACTGTTGTCTATGGAGACGATGGTCGGTCGCATAACTCTCGCTTACACACTAAGGATTGTAAATGTACACAATGTAGCTATTAGAGTGGTAACCAGACTCATTACGTGTAACTTTTCCGGCTAAAAATTCAAAAGTTACATAGAGGAGACTTTAAAAAGTTATAGGTAGCATGTTTAAGTCGGTCTCGATAATTTAGTACATGCATCAAAATAAAACATAATGCTAACCTAATCGTATTACCTTTACATTTATCAATTTTCACATCAATAATGCTGAAAGATTAGCTTTAATAGTTGATACTAATGTTAATAACCATGCAACATTCCTCGCTAGAAAGATAAATATTTAAAATCCGAATAGTTTAAACTGCAAAGAGAAAACCTAAAACTTGTCGCAACTCCTCGTGGTTTACATGTATGACCATTTCCTTGGGTTCTTTGCTTTTCCTTCTGGCACTTAGTATACGGCATTCTAGTAGTCATTTTCTGGGAACCCATCGAAAAAGATGTGTAGAGAGCGCACACCAACATAGATAGTAACAGGGAAGATTTTTGATGCTTTCCACTACACGACTAGTTAGCGATACTGACCGGCAAAGGATTAACAGACATATCGAGTATAATAACTGATCTCTCGAAAATCACTCCAAAAAGGATAAAACTAACAAAAAAATTTTATAATTCTATTTTTAGCTCTGACTGATAGATTGATGATAAAATTTTGCCTGGATCCATGTATGTCTAATGCTTCGGTAGAACAATACTTGTAAGCTATATAGGATTTTATCCGATGCCGTGACAATTTTACAGAGCTTTTGCAATTTACTTTTCTGCGATTTTTAAATTGAACAATTAGATACTGGAAGAGAGATGCTGTGGCATAACGTATATCTTTGAGGCTCTTTGCTTAGTTTTCGTTAGATAGCAGCTGTGTTTGGTAACATTCTTTTTATTTTATGATTGATGCGAGCTTTAAATGTGGTAAGATAATGCTAGGGTGTATCTAAGGCTTTTCCTGCTAAGTTCGTTCTTTTGTAAAAGAGATACTTGATAGGATTCTTGGTTTTTTGGGTACAAAAATGGAATGACGAAAGACGAAATGTGAATCACATTTTCGTAGGTGGTGTATGTCTTGTATTTCATTGGTGTTTGAATTTGCTACACATCAATCATGAAAATGACGTCACCTAGCTGGATTATTTCATCGATTTGTTATCACACGTCCAACAAATGTGTTACGAACGAGAGAGGTATTTTTCGAGTGAAGGTCAACTGTTCGTTTTTCTTTATATAATGACTCAAAAATAATTCCATCCTCCTCTTTTATGTTTAGATACTTTTTCATCTTATACTATAATTTACTTCGTTTATTATTTTCTTTCCAATGTGACCCTACTTGAAATATGTTGTTTTCTGTATGACATCATGTTTACAATAATCGGGTATATTTCACTGGTGATTTCTTCTCAAATAAATACTCAATGTAAAGTATGTTTTTTATTACTTGGTGAATTTTTTTTTCAGATTTTTCTACGAATAGCTCTACAATTTAATGGCGAAGTTGAAAATTGAGCAAAACAACAAAGTAAATTCTTACTACAAAAGTCATTTTTTGCTATTCAAAAAAACTTTTTTTAGTCTGTAGTTCCTTTGTCTTATCAATCGAATTTAGTCAATTTTATGATTCATTTAACAGCAGCTAATGTAGTCGTAAACAGCCAACATTATACTAGTCAATATATTCATTGTAAATCTTCGACTAATTGGTCTACTTCTACACACAATGATAATGATCATAATGAGATAAACAATCATCTTAATGAATTTCAAAAATCTCAATGGAGTAAATATGGCTGTACCATGCCAAAAAATTGGATCGATCCATTCGAAATATATGATTCGGAGGATTCATAGAAAAAAATATTTTTTATGTATGTATTTTTATTTTGATCAAGTAATTTTTTTTTTGTATTGAAACTAAGATAAATTATGTGTTTGATATATAATATCATTTTTTTAAAATTAAATAAAGATCAGAAATCATGATCTATAAAATGCAATAAAAACAATTATACTTTGCTTTACGTATTTTGATACGAGAGAAATTCAATAGATGTTTGCTATTCTGATATAGATGCATAAAGTCATAATTACCTCTTGACATCCAATATGACTAGTTTAGTCTATATTTAATCGAATATAATTGTCATGTTTTGGTTTTTTATCAAATATAAAAGTAATATTTAGTAGAAATATTGACATTACTCTCACTTGATCGAAGACATGTTATTCTACTTAAAATTGTGTTATGTTGAGTAAAGAAATATTATCATATTTATCTTTTTGTTTGCTCTAATGATCAGAAAAGTTGTATAGGATAAATTGATTTTTACTAAAGATTTAACACATTGAAATAAAATAAAATAAACATTATACATTAGATATCGACCAAAGAATATTCACAAAAGAATTAACACACCTATATTAAAAACAAGAGCTTGTTAGCGCAGGATCTTTGGTATCGAAATGTGGAACTCAATATGTTTTTTTTAGCCCAATTAAACTGATACAAAATAGGTAAAGTGATAAATCTCTCTTGGTCTATAGTTGTTTTCCAAGATAATCGATCACTAGAGTAAAGATCTGTCTTAGTTATTTCTGTATTTTTCTTGATTTACCATTGTTATTATTATAAGCATTGCATATAAATTTTTATTTGAGCAACAATCAAACACAGCACTATTTAATGCATTCACAAATATATTCCAGCCATTCCAATTTCGAAGAGAAGTCTGATGTTGGTTGGCCTAAACTTCTAACACCTATTATGCGCGAGTTGTAAAACTTTGATTTACAACTTACACTTACTATTTTTTTCGAAAATATACATAAATTCCACAAAACATCGAACGATACGCAGATTCAAAAGGAATCTTATGTACGATGCGAAACTTTTTAAAGTTTCGCATCAGCTGCAATTCTCAAAACCCTACCTCTTTCACTATAGGATTAAATTTCATCATGATGACCTCTGATATAGATATTCATTTGATAGGTTAATGCTATCAAAGAACAATACAACAAATAAACTTTCATATTTTTACATTTATCTTTCTCTTTACTTTATTTATAATTTATTTTATTTCTTGGACCACAAGAACGAAAAAGAACGAAAAGCAAATGATCAATAAAGAAAAAGCGTTTCATATTTTTTATCATTAAGGTTGACAAAAGATACACTTGAGTGAATCACACACATATGTATATTTATGTACATACACGTTGAAGGATGCGTATTCCTACATAACATTAGATTACATTATTTTATATGTCACTTATGTATCGCTATGGAGTGAGTACATTTTTAGTATGCAACAACTAAACAAAAATTATCGCCACATCGCTTTACAAATCATAACAAAATTATTCAATGTGAAATAGGAGTCAAAAGAGTATTTTCATCCTTCGAATATCGGGAATTTTTCGTTTTACTTCGGCAAAGCTACATAAAAATTTATCTATTTTTAGGGATGTCCAAAGCAGAGAGAGAGAGAAAGATCGTGAGTACAACTCTTTTAATCTTGAAAGATGATCGTCTTTCCCCAGCACAGTTTCAGTACTTTATTGCCGTTTTGTTCATAAATCCTGGAAACGCTTGAACTCCTCTCCATCAAATACAAATTTAGTTAACTTTAGCAAAAGTTTTCCAATTGACTTCCTAAGTCTTCATCGATCTTCCACCAATGCTGGTGGCCTTGTGACGCTCCTATCTGCTTGACTCATGAATACTCACAATATTGGTTACCTTCTCGTTCTAAATTGTTATCATCAGCTTTACTTCCTGAGTCGTTGATCTTTTTCTAATCCTAGTAACACTGGGACAGCTCTAATTATAACGTATTTGTTTCAGATGAAGAACATATTTATTTTCATTCATGTTTTTTATTGCATCAGTGCGAAATTAACTACACGCAGTGCGTGTAAAGATTGTTTTGGAAAAATTCATACACAAGAACAATTACAATTAGTTAAACAACCTTTAATTATTAATAAAAATCAAGCTTGTCAGAATGAAAAAACTAAATTTTTTATTATTGTTAAATCAGGAAGTTTTCAACGACGAAATTTCACACGTTCTACATGGGCACAAGAAATTATTGAACATTTTAATGTACCTGTTTTATATGCTATTGGATATCCACAAGATTCTGCTATGCAAAAAGAAATTATTGAGGAAGATGAAAAATATCATGATTTATTACAGTTTAATTTTCTTGAAAGTTATTATAATTTAACATTAAAAACCACGAGTGTTTTAGTTTGGTATGATCAACATTGTTCCAAAAACAGTGATTATCTTTTTTATGTTGATGATGATGTACTTATCCATGTTGATAAATTAATTTTGTACATGAATCAAGTTTCTAATAATGACACAATCGAAGGTTGGTTCGAAAAATCTGGAAAAATTCAACGTAAAGGTATTGGTGGAGTATCAAAAGAAAATTTTCCTATTAATATTGTACCAGATTATTTATGGGGTGCTGCAGTTTTATATCCATCAAATATAATATCGAATTTATTAATCAAAGCTATATTTAATACAACAATACCAATATTTTTTCGTGATGATGTTTTTATTAATGGTTTTATGGCTGAACAAGCTGGAATTAAACGAAAACATATGAAAGGAATTTTGACACATGATCAAACAGAAGATGATTTAAAGACTAATATGATAATAATTGATTTTAAAAATGAAGAAAATCGTCAAAAAGCATGGAATTGTTATAAATATAATATTCAATGTAATAAAAATTTACCATTATTATTATTTAGAATTTTTGCTGGAATAAGTTTATTCATAGTCATGATTGGTTCTTGTTATAAATATTTTACAAGTACGTTTTATTATAAGCAATTAAAACATGAATTTGATTTTTGGTATTATACAACTAATCAATGGTTTAAGCAAAATATGAATTTAACATTGATGAGAAATAGACGACAATATTCGTCACGTGGAATTCAAAAGACTATGTTAGGTGTTCAGTGGTTGATTAATTTGAGAAGAATGAGTAAACGGATAGTTTTGACTTTTGTTTTTATTATTCTTTTCTATTATTTCATAAAAAAATTAGTTAATTCGTAAAATTAAACTGCGATTTATACAAAACTCAACAAATTGTTTTATCAGTAAAATTTATTTGAATTTTTTCATGTGTGAAACCAATGAATGATGATTCTGTCTGTTTAAATAATCGACCAACATAACAAGGTGTACTATTGTGAAAGAGGGTGCTGAATCGATATATATATTATATTGGTATATGGTGTGTAAGATAAAATGATGATAATTAAAGATTAGTGCCAGACGTAACCATAGGCACAAGAGTTCTGGGTGTTGAATCAAACTTTGTTTTGAAAATCATCGCAACTAAAACAAATAGTTCTGCTTATGTGTTTGATTAGGAATTTATGAAGGAATGTAATAATAGGTGAAAGAATTATTATATGATAGTAAAATATTTCAGATGAATAAGTAGCGAGAAGGACAAAGTTGATTTTATAGGAGGGAGGGTCTTAATGTCCCTCAAGACAAATTTTTGCTGGATTAGAAAAATGATTTTGAATTATGAATTTATTATCAATACCACCGCTATAAAATCAAAGCAATAAGGATCACCAAGATATTCTTGATGTATATGTAAAACCTTTTTTTGTAGTAAATACAATGCTAGATTGAAAATCTGTCATCAATGTCTTTTTATGCTTATCTCATTATGATGGTATTCAATTCACTGGACTAGATATAATAACATAGATAGATTTAGAAAAATATTTTTATATCTAAAATGTTGTTTTCAACATACTAAATTTTTTTTCCATCCTAATAAATAATTTTTGTCATATCATTCTAAATGTATTTACAATTAAAAAAAAACTTGAAGGAACAAAAAAAGAACACCGGATTTAGCGATTCATTTAATAAATCATATTTATAATTGAAATATAAATTAAAAGGGTTGTCTTAAATAAATAACAAATGACAAACATGTCTTATAAAATAAAAATAGAAATACACATTCATTTGCAGATTTATTTACAGACTAAAACATTATATATCTATCTATCTATATATATATATGTATATTTATTATTGTTTGTGGTTTTTTATTATTCATCATCTTCTAATGTTGGTTCAACTGTAAGTGCACTACCATGCCCACTGCGTTCTCTTGTTAATGGTGTTCCAAATGTCCATTCATCTTTTTCAGGATCATAAACTTCAACAACAGATGAAAAACGCTTTCCATCATAACCACCTAAAGCAAAAAGACGTTTATCAAGTGTAACACAACTAAGTGCTGATCGACGACAATTTAATGGTCGTACAAATGACCATTGTTGTGTTAATGTATCATATCGTTCAACAGTATCAAGTTGCATTGGTCCTTCAACACTATCAGATGCATAACCACCAACAACATATATACATTCAGCAAGAGGAGCAGCTGCCGCACCAGATCGACCAACTAATAATGGTTTTTCACGTTTCCATGTATTCGTATCAGGATTATAAGATTCAACATCAGCTAATCGTCGATGTCCATCAAAACCTCCAATTGCATATAATAATCGACTGTGTGTGCAAACCGCTAAGCCAATACGTGGTATATGCATAGAAGCAACTTCAACCCAAGTTTCTGAATCTGATGATGTTGAATATCGTTCAACACTTGCATATAATTGTTGACCACATGAACCACCAACTGCATAAATACAATGATCAATTGTACCAACACCAAGACGATTTCGACCATAAATCATTGGAGCAACTGTTGTCCATTTATTAACAAATGGGTCGTAACGTTCAACATCACGACAATCTCGATTTTCATTTCTATAAATAAATAGAAAAAAAAATGATTGAAAATAACACAGTATACAATTTAGATTTGATGAATTTTTTCAACAAATGAAGGTATAGTAAATTCGAGTTTCTAAAAACGTTAAAATTTCTGAGCATCATTATTTACTGGATGATACCAGGGTGTGGATATGTGGATATACTTAAGTATTTGTTATGGTGAAGAAAAGAATCTAACCCACATTCATATTTGCACTATTCAGGATCACCCGTACAGGACATCCAGGCACTTATTATGAATATTTTCTTCTTTTTTCATACAAATTTCTCTGAAATTTTGAATCTTGCCTTTGTTTTGAAGAGCATTCTTAGATGTGGAATGAACTAAATGAATCAGTTGAACATGAATACGATGTTGAAATGATACAAGATTACACTACATAAGTAGATAGTTGTTTTTTTTTGTTGAAGCAGTAATTTGAATATTGTCAGATTTTTGAGTGTCATTGGTATCGAACCTTCACGTTTTGTTTTTACTATTTTCTGTTCAATAAAATAGAGTATATTTAAAAAAATGAAAACCGTTGCCATAGCTTATATTTTTGTTGTTTTCTCTTTTTTTTTATAACGGACGTCCTTTATGGATGCCCCTATATGCCAATTTCATCCATCTTGTTTTCTTAATTGAACTAGTCATTAATACCAATATTCAATTAACTCAATGAAACGTTTACAAATAGTTAACAGTAATAAGATGAGTTTTCCGGCTCAGACCAAAGCAAAAAAACAATATACATTTTATTTATATATTCTTTTCATATTAAATTGAATTTTCTACGTTTATTTCACATAGTTATTTCATTAAACTTCTTGAAAATAGAAAGTCATGATCTCATAAAAGAAATTGAAGTAGTATTCAACTATTATTCTTAATCAATAGAATAAAAATATTTACCTTGTATTACATTTTCCACCAATAACATAAACACGCATATGAACTGAAACAACTCCAACTCCACTTCTAGATACTTGTAAATCTGCACATCGTTTCCATTTTTGTGTTTCTAAAAAATAACATTCCATTGTATTGATTGATTTATTAAAATAACCACCAGCACAATCTAAATACTTCATTAATGAACAAAAACAAAACAAGAAAATAAAATATAAAACATACAAATAACAAGTGGTTTAATTGGTGCACGATGTGGTGGTAAACGACAATAACGATGTGATGTTAAATTTTCATATGCATTTGCTAGATAATCTCGACAACGTTGCATATCTGGTGGTGCAAATTCATCACAATTAATAACACCTTTAAGAAAAGATGGATCAAGAAATTGAAGACGAATACATGGTAAAATTTCTACAAGTTCAGCACGTCGATTTAATGGATCATGACGAACCCATTGCATAGCTGCCTAAATAATAACAATTTATAATTATCAATAAAGAAAATAAATTCCTATACTTACATTATAGATAATTGATTCACATTTAACTTTAAGTTTATCATCTTTAATCAATGAACATAAATCAGGAAAATTAAGTGAAAGAAATTCTTCATGTCGTACAACATCTTCAAAATGTTCATGTATATAATGTTGAGCAGCATCAATTAATGGAAGACATTGATATTGTTTACCATATAATAATAATCCAACACAATTAGACGCATGTAATTGATCTCGAAGATAAGCAACACATAATTCAATTAAATCATCAAGTAATAATGGAATTGAACATGTTAACACCGGCATAACCTAATGAAAAAAAAATATATATAGATCATTGTAAATATTATTCTTTTGTAAAAAACAAAACTTGTAAACAAAATAATATATTTAGAATAAAATCAGATGATAATACTAATTTGTTTCATAGAAAAAAAAACAGGTAATTCATGTAACAATAAGGAAGTATTCTTAATAACAATTCAGCTTAGTTGAAAGCATGTGTTTAAGATCAAAAATACATAAATATCGATAATATTTACGTATAACTATAATGTTAATGAAAGAAAATATTGAAAATTAAAAGAACTAGTAGGGAATAATAATGATCTTTTTTTTCTATTTAAAAATTCGTAATAGAAATTAATTTCAGATTTTATTTTTATAGTTTAAATAGAAAAATCAGTTTTCTATATGTTCTTGTGATTAATAATTAAATTAATATCACCTACACTTTTATCATTGAGCTGTACTTGTGAAGTATAAAGAAAATCTAATATAATATTCATCGCATAAGGACAAGGCACTAATTTAGTTAAATCAATATCTTCTGTTGTATGTGCTTCAACGTGACCAGATTGACCAAACATTGAAGCAAAATAAGACGATGCCGATGCTAAAACAATTTTATGTGCTAAATGTCGTTGACCTTTTACACATAAACTAACATCACAAAATAGCTCTTGTTTTCGATACATATTCATTGTATCGATAAGACGAGCAGCTCGATCAGTTTTTAAGTGATAAACACGATCGGAACCTGATAGAAGTTTCATTGTATATTTTCCCATATCATATTCATTTAAATCATTCATCGAAAGAAATCCATCAAGTTCGTCGATCTCACTTGTGTCTATCTGCGAGTGACCGTTTAGCATGACAATGCCTTTTTTTTCTAAAACAAAAAAAAAAGTAATACAGAACAACAAAAAAAAAATTTTTGCAATATTCATCATGACACTAGCGAGCTAGCTGTGATTCGTCATTGCCAGCTGTAACTTATTAATGACTGAATAGATGAAATCTACTAATGAAATATTAGTAACGACTTATTTTAAGTTTAATTTATATTGGTTATAGACGAATGAATATATAATAAAAATATTATTCGATAATGAAATTTATGTGTTATTCGAATATAGATGTCGCACTTCTGCAAATTGATCAATGTAGCGTATTGTACAACATGTAGAAAGTACCTATATTGAACAAGTTCATAACTGTAGAATTAATATATTAAATACTAATAAATAATAGACTCTAAGCGTTTTTAAAAAATATAATGACGGTCTATTTTTAAGAAGTAGAAAACCATTTGTTTGCAATAGCTGACATAGATAAAAGACATCATTGGTGATATTTTTCAAGTATTCATTGTTAAAAATAGTCAATGCAAATTTTTTCATGTCATCATAGTTTATGTCATTAACTCATAGATTACATAAAAGCAAGATAAGAAAAAGAAACTAGTTAGATTTTATGAGTAACAAATAAAAGATAAACAGAAAAAAAAAAGAATAACCTCAGCACTGACAAAGTTAAATGTTTCTGTCAATAAGAATGAATTTGTTTTATTCATCTTTAATGTTATATTTATTAATTTTGGTTTTATTTTAAACAGTTTTGGTATTGATATTCAATTTAATCTTAGATCACAGTCTATACTTTCAAAACATGTTACATCTACATATTCTGAGATCAAGTTTTAAAAGTACTCAGTAAAAATACTTTTTAATATTTTTGTAAAGCCGCTAATATATTTTAAGGAACAATGCATTGATTTCCTCATACTTTAGATAGACCTCAATTGCAATATTTCTTGTACTAATTAGTGTAGTTTACTTAATTGTTCCACAATATAGTGATTCATATCATTATTATCATCTTCTTATAAAAAGACACAAAAAAAAAAACATAATGAATGGCGAAAAAATACCTCTAACTGGACCGATTACAGAAAATAGTTTTTATACTGGTAAAGAGGTATCGACTGGAGAAGTTGGTTCAAGTGGAATATCGCGTCGAGTTTTACATGGTTTAACAATAATCTCTGTTTTAATTGCATGTGGTTGTACTATATTTGGATTATTTCAAACCAAATCAGCAGTTATTGTATTACCATTTATTATCGTATTAATTTGGCTTTCTATACACTTTCTTCTTTTATATTTTATGCGAAAAGATCAGCACGATTTTCATCCGCCAGCATGGTTTATATTTGTTTCAAGTGGGCATATTTTTATACAATCATTAATTGTTATTATTTTAACACTTGTGAAAAAGCAAACTTGAATATTAAAAAACACTAAAATAAACTAAGGCATTCTTTTTGTTAAATAAATAGGCTACAGCTTACAATGAATTATATGTGTATATTATAAATTGCTACAATGAATATATATAATGAATAGATTTCTTTTTTCTATCAGTTATTGTAAGATCATTACTATATGAAAGAAAACGAAAGTACATAAATACTTTCTATTGATTAGATTCTAGCCTTTCATGTCGTCCATTTTTCATCAAAATCGACGGTTCGAATAATTTGTTTCTTTGTTATCAAGTTTTTCATAATTTATCTATTAAATTAATGTTTTCTGGCTTCAGAAAATCTTGAATATGTTTCCATTTGGATGAGGGCGCGATTTCGGCTGAAATCTAACATTTTTCTATCAGTTTAAAATATCCGAGCAGAAAAACCGTGATTAAACGACTTTTTCTTCAAGCGATTTGCACGACGCAGACAATGTACTGTACAACCTACATGCAGAAAGAAAAAAAAATCAACTCTCGCTAGAAAACAGCTGTCTAAGTAATATCAATATCATGTCAATAGACTCTAAGATATGTAATGCTTTTTACGTATCAGAACCTAACCCAGAGGATAAAGTACAGTTTCTGATAAGTTCATTAACCCTCCTTAATTGAAAATATCTTCAAGAAAGGTTATTTTTCATACTTGCTTTTTTTAGTCATTCATTATTTCTCCATAAATAGTATACTTGGATAAAGAGACATGTCAAGAGCAATGATAAAGAAATTTAAGGAAATGTAATGCAGCACAATTGCAGGACAATCAGCTGAAAATTCGAGTTGAGTATGCGCTCATACTATGTTCCTGTGTAATACTATGAAGAAAAGCTATAATCTATTATCACATGTGAACATACAAGATGAAGTAAGAACTTGAAATTCATACCTTACGCATACAGATGTTTCTATCTACGTAAAGATAAATGAAACTAGGTGAACTATGTAAATAGACTACACATAATAATATCATGGCTCCCATTCTTCTCCTATTGTCTCTTGTTCACCATATTTCATCTCCATTTCATGCTTAAAATAAATATCGAGTTCATTCACCTAATAAATAGTAATTTATGTTTGATGTAACACATACTACTATGATTATATAAATTGTGTAGTGTCTGTTGTATTAGTTCTAAGATAGAACAATTCAGTTCAAATATATTAGCTACTGGCATAGTCTTATCAGATGCTGACAAGTTTCAAACTTACTACATCATTTGCATCTTAGTAAAGATTGATTTACAATTTTTCTTCTGCTGTAATGTAAATCTACCAGTACTTGGTCTCTTCTTACTCTGATGACTGCCAACACTTGGGCTTTATATGTTACAATACACGAAAGAAAGCATAACATAAAAACTCATAGCTGAAATGTATTAGTGTATAGTATAATGTTTACATAATATACAATACATATGATAGACAAACTTGAATGTACAAACAAAAATTAAGTTGGCAGAAGTATAAATAAACATCACTCTACTTCAATTTATACAGTATCAATGCTCATAGATAAATCATACTATAATATAATCTATATTATGTAGATAAACAATGTGCAGAGAATCAAAACAATGCATATATATGACTAATAGATATCAATCTATCATATATGATAAAACAGAGAATACACTAGTTTCTAATACTTATCCTGTATAGATAAGCAATTCAGTTGTATTTGTTCACTTTGATTGAATGGCGCTTTATTATATTTATCTAAATAATGTCTTTGATAATTCCTTTTATAGTTATTTGTATTATGCATGAAATACATTCTATTCCTAAATATATATTTTCATTACGTAATGATCATCATGATCTTATACGTCAATTACTCTATATGAATTGTTCATTTCTGAATGTATATTCTCCCTTATTTATTTGTTCAAATGAAATTTTTTATCATGCTGAATTCAATATAGATATATCATTAGTTCCATTTCAATCTCAATTAAATAAATGTGCAATAATAATTAAATATAATCATATATCAGTATTTGCAGAAAGAATAAATCAATCAGCATTTGTTACTTCGCATGTTATTAATAATAACAATAATCAAGAATTCATTGTATTCCAACAACAATCAAGTCTAACAATTGATGTGAGAGCAAGATTACATTATTTATTTGAAAGAATTTAATTTATTTGGAAACTCAATTTTTATCATGAATCTTCATATAGAGAACTTCAGAGTGAAATAAGATTCTAGCAAAAGTCAGATTTGAGCAAAGTCTAGTCTGATTGTATATATGTCATTATTAAGAACCTAAAATTTCTTTGAGAATGAACAAAACCCGACCGTAAATATTAATCTATGTATAGAATACCGATTGGAACAAATCTTTAATAATAACTATTTATAACAATATTTATAAAAATAACTATTGTTCATTTCAATTATTACCTATTGGACCAAAATGTTCTTTTATTTTACAAATTAAGCCATTGAATGTATCTTGTTATTTAAATCTGAAACTTTCGAAATATGATCATTTGGAAAATAATAAGAATAAGAATAAATATGTATACATTATTAATGAAAGAAATATCACTCAACCTAGAAATCAATTCAATCAAAATCTTTTTCCATTTTTAATTACAATATTTATGTTTACTATAATACCATTGATACTATTCATTGGAAATATTATTTATATTAAACAAATTCAAACTAATATTCCATATTATTTAAAACATTATGATATACGATCAGACATATCTAATGAATGAAACAATTCATTATCAATTTATACGGCAAGTAAAAGCAATAAATGGTAATGTAGGGAACCAATTAGCACATATCTTATGGCCTGTCTTGTGAATGATCTTGTTTTCGAATGACATTTTGACAACTTAATAACCAAAACTTTTTTTCTGAATATTATGATATGTCAGTTGGAGTAGTGCATGAATACTAAGTAGATAAGCTTTTTCTTACAATTTCTTTACTGTTCAGAAGCCGACTTATGATACCAACGAAGTGGAACTTAAGAAGAATACATCATCGAGTTTTCTTTTTTTTTCTACACTCTGTCATCAATTGTTGTATTAATTAAGCATTCGCTTGTCTATCTTGTTTCTAGAGTCTTCGTATCTAAAAACATAAGTATTTTTTTATAAGCATTAACCTAAAAAAGAAACTATGTCCAACTACTTGTCTATCGTTTGTATTATCTGCCTGTCTAGTTGACAAGCCGAATTTGCTATCTTTCCATCGTATTCTCTTTACAGTTGATTCAATACAATCTCCTGTGATTATTTTTATTAGAAAACTCAATGGTATGTTTTCATTTCTTTCTTTTTTTTTCTTCTGTTGATTGATACTGTGTTCTCAGACAGACGCAAAAAGTACTAATGATTTAATTATCTTTAACAAGATTATATCTATCCTCATCATATATAATAAAAGTTAAAGTTTTGGTTCAAATACAACGAAATTTAATTTATTTCTCTCTTTTGATCTGTCTCTTGAAGATACTAAGTGACAACAGAGACTAAACATTGTTCTAACATTGACATTATAAGAAGAAAAATCTTATGTGTTTCCTTTTTTTTTATTGATTCAAAAAAGTATTTTGAGACAGAAGAAAAAAAATATAGCAAGCGGCTCACTAGAAAAGAAAAGAAAAGAAAAAAAACAAATCAATATAATAAGTCAGTTTGCTTCTTTTAGTAAAACTTGTTTGATATATTATCACATTCAATAATGTCTTATTATCAATGGTCAACAGATAAATTTATTCGTATATTTGTTTTAACTTGTATTATGTGTATCACTTTAATTGGAAATATTTATATTATATTTAAATTATTTTTTCATCATCATCGTACTCGTTTACAGTTATTTATATTAAATTTAGCCATCGGAGATTTAACTATATGTTTTTGCACAATGACATCAGAATTATTTCTTCTTATCTATGATCAAGAATGGATATTGGGAAATATTGCATGCAAATTAATATTGTATATTCAAGTTGTGACACTTGCATCAACGACATTTATAAATGTTGCCATGACTTATGATCGGTAAAGTTTTTAAATATTTTACTCTACTGAACAGCTGTTTGATTAACATTTGATATATGATTATCAATCGTAATGTGATAACTGAAACACATTAAAATTGAAAAACAAAACTGTTATGTGTCCATATTATAATAAGATCAGAAAAATATCTTTGATCTAATCGCTTGAGTTGCTTTATCTGACTCCTCTAAAATTGCCTTTGGTAATAAAAGATTAAGCTTTTGTTGCGATATATTCGAATTAGTTCTCTGTTGTATTAATTCATTCGTTAAAGTATATTCCAATAATTATGCTAGCATCATTGAAACAAATGCAAATAGACTTATCTTATTCTACTAGATTCAGAGTAGATAAACAGAAAGAAATTCTATTGAAATATTTATATTATTTATTCTTCAATACAGAAGTATTGTAATGCTTAATATTTGGTTCTTTGAAACTTAGTTCTCATCGATTTTTAAATACTTAGTTAATATGATAAAATTTACTCTCATCATAAATTGTTTCATAAACGTCTATTTATTCTGATGATTCAGTTAAACAAAGTGATTCAAAAATCAGTAAGTACCAAATATTCTATTCGATTAATGACATAGAAACTTGAGATAATTCAATATTTTTTTATAAGCTCATGTAAATTTTGATTCTTTATAATGAAAGTAATGTTTTATCCTTTTCTTTTCAAGGCAACAATCCCAATAATTTCAACAAAAAAGAAATCAATGGCGAAAAATGTTATATAGACATAGCTTAAGAATGTGAACAATTTTATTCAGTAACAACAAAGAAACGAACCGATTTAGATGAAAGAATTATTTCTTATGGACGTCACGGAACTGATAATTTCCGTTTGATCATTACTTCCCATTTTCTTAAAAATGTCTATTATATCATAACAGTTATAGTTATTCGGCCGACATAAACATGTTTTTTCTCGGAAACTCATTCATTTTGATATGTGATGTGTAGTTCATATTAAATTAAAGTAAACTGATGAAAAAAAACACCTTTTTTGTAAATTTTTCTTCAAGTACCATCCTTAGGCTCGGTACATTCGAATTGCATGAAATTTGAATTGAAAAATCCATAGAGAATTCTAGATTGTGCGATTTAAAAAAAAATATGTTTCAATTAGAAAACAAGAGAAATCATCTATGTTGTTAGAAACAGCGACATGTCAAATAAAAAAATATGTAAGACGACAATAACATGTATATACATAATTGTTTATTACATATAAAAATGTCAAGTAAACTCGTTGACAATACGAATTTTCTTTTGTCAAATATTTGTTAATGGATTCTTATTTAGATATGTAGCAGTTTGTTGTCCATTTCGAACATGTCAATATTCTGCCCGTATTCGTTTTATTATAATTCTATGTTGGTTAAGTTCATGTATAGTTGCTACACCACAATTATTTATATTCCAACAAAGTCTTCTTAACGGAAGTTTAACCAAATATCGTTGTGCAAGTACGGGTTATACAGCTGAATGGCAACGTCGTATTTATTTTACAACATTTGCAACATATGTTCTTGTGTTACCTGCTATTTGTATGATTGTATGGTACATAAAAATCATACGTATTGTTTATACATCAAAAAAAATCTGGACACAAAATATAAATGGTCAAACAACAGTATTATCATCAACATTTTTAACATCTCCAACAAAAATTAAAACAGTTAAATTAGCTATGACAATTATTGTTGTATTTGTTGTTTGTTGGACACCCTATATGCTTATTACATTAATTGAAATTTATTTTAATAATTGTTTTCATAAACCATCATGGCTTGATGGAGTTTTACAAACAATATGTTTTCTTCAAAGTGGTCTCAATCCATTTATTTATATGGCATTCAATCAAGGACGAAAATCTTCTCCAGCAATCATTCGTGCTGCTGCATCGACACTTTCACAAACATCCGATCGAAAAAATCCGAGACAACAACGTGGACGACGTGGTTCAATATTATTTTATTAAATAAAAATAGAAACTGCATGTCGAAAAAAATGCTTTCTTTATTTTATTTCCATAATGAAGGATGATAAAAAAAAACAAGTATTTCTAAAAAATCTCTCGTAGGCTTGACTTTAAAGACTAACATAGTTGTTATTTATATACAATGTTTTAAATAAATCAAAGTTTTTCGACTTTCTTCTCTGGAAATATTTATGAGGGAAAGAACTGTATTTTGTGCAAGTTTTTGACTTAACACATTAGTAAAGCACTTGAACAAATACTTATCTCATATAGGCATCGCTCTTATATTTGCTTCACTCTTCACTTCGTTGATTCATTATTTATTTCACATTCTTATACTCTTCGAAATGAACCATTCGATCATCCGCATACGGCTGAAGCGATTAAGCAACGTTTGATCAAAGTCTGCGACGATTTTGGCTTGAATAGTGGGAAAATTATTATTGTATCAGATAAAGGTTCGAACGTACAAAAAGCTTGGCGTCTCGCACATATTATGCATTTATCGTGTGCTGCCCACGGTCTACACAATTTACTTATGGTCGATGTTATTCCCAAGATCGATGGACTATCAAAATTGCTGGATAAAGTTGAAGCAATCATCTTCAAACTGAGATATCGTGAAAATGAACTACGTGATGCATTTTTATCATCGAGCAATGACTCAAATGCTGCTATAATTGAAGACATTCTTACAGTATCTGAATTATTGGAGGCTGATATATCGTCGCCGATTGAACTTGATGAAGAAGACGATGACAATACATCGATCGCATTGCCTCGGAGAACAACGATCGCATGTGAAGAATATCTAATAAATTGTTCGATTGAATCAAAACAATTTTACACATTGAAAAAACGAGTACCCACACGTTGGAATACGATTCTTATCATGCATCGATCATTCTTGCCTAATATCGACGCAACTGAAACTATTCTCATCCGAATGAATAGTGCCGATATGCTTCCATCGTTCGATGAGTTGGAATTGCTCAAAGTTTTCGTAATCTATCTCTCGGCGTTCAAGAGTGCTACAAAGATTTTGTCTGCCTCAAAAGCATATCCAATGCTATGTCTTTATCTTCTTCTTCGGAAACAGATCGAACGGATATCGCAACCCGATGATGGTGACAATGAGTTCATGCTCAAGTTAAAGATGCTCGTTCAAGAAAATATCAACAAACGATTACCCGTTTCTGAACGAACGTTACAGCTTTCGTATTAGATTCGTCTCTCTCGAAAATTGATATCGATAGTTATCTCCAAACTATTGGAAAGTCCAACGAGAAGTTGCTTCAGTCGATGATTGGACGATTCAAATTGAATAATAATCAAGTTTTAACAGTGTCTTCTAACAAAAAGGTGATGACAAATGATTCTTCTACTTTAGCGTCGCCCAATGCTTGTGTATCATCAACATATAATGCTTATAAACGTCGACTTTCAGTCGAATCCCTTGACAAACAAACCATTGATTTAAAGAAGTTAAAAACAAATCTCTTTGAATTGCACAGCGTGTCAACTGTCCAATATTCTGAATTAACGAGTGAAATCAAGGCCTACTTACAAATCAACGTTGTATGCGACGATATTCTATTATGGTGGAAGAATGCAAAAAATTCGTATCCACACTTGGCACAACTCGCTCGAATAGTTCTGGCTGTTCCAGCTACTTCGACACCATCTGAAGAGGTATTTTCGACTGCTGGTTTAATATTATCTGCGAAACGAACCCAGTTTACACCGGAGACTGTAGAGATAATACAATTTATTCACGATAACTACTTTATGTTCAAGTAGATTTAAACGATATTATTGTTCTTTCTGCTTATATCCTGTGTTGTTGTTATTTTTCTTTAACTTATTGTACCTTAGATACTGAACTTACATACTTGATGAAAATAAACTGAATTATAGTGAAGAATTGTTTTAGAGAATAAGCGATCCACGTTGCAAGATGTATACAGCGTTATATTTTTGAGAGAACGGAAATCTAATATTTGCCTCACTAGTAGGGGCCCACAAGAAGACTTGGAAATGATCTACGAAGGATTTCGCCGCCGCCGCCGAAAACGGTTGTCTCGGCGAACTTAACGCGCCGCCGCCACCGAAAAAAGGGCCGGCTAACACCTCTATGTAGGGCCAGAGAAAATAGAATGCAAATTATATGATTCGATAGAGTAGTCGATGCTCTATCCTACTGTGTTAAAATAAGAAACTTCCAATGTTCTACTTAAATACAGCAAACTACATAAAACTATTAAAAATAACGTAATCATGCTGTAGGGTTGAAAGCTTTGAGTCTTACCTGACTTCGACACTATTAAGCTGAGCCTGATAGGAGTTACGGCTCTAGAGTTTGTTCACACTCGACTCTAGCATCGTTTCGCTACGTAAAACTTATTTTAGTGCGGAAATTGAAACTTTTTACATTCTTATGTATGAACTGAGACATGGAAAACTGAAAAATTAAGGTAGCAATAAAATTTGCTATCTTTGTCGCCATGGTTCTTAGTGGCATCGTTTATTTACTCACACAGAGTGGCCTGTAAAATAGATCAACCGTGAAATCGTTTACCCAAATGATAAAATATTTGCATTCAATCCAGATAGACAACAGTTTCAGAAAATGCGTGTTAATGTCCAAAAAGTTCGTATTTTTGGCGTTTAAACGCGTATTGAAGAAATTAGTAGTGAAAATCTATAGAAAGGATAAATTTTAAGTGTAATCATAAGAAATTTTTCACAACCACTTCTCTGAGCACTTGAATAGACACCCTAAAAGTCGACTTTTTAAGCGTTTACATCCATATTCCGAATTTTTGTGTACTCAAAAAGTGAGTACACTCTAGAATCGGTCAGTATGTCCGGCCGTCCGGCCGTTAACACGATAACTTTTGAAAGGAGAGTCCGATCGCGATGAAATTTTCTACACAGTTTAGTCTTAACAATATCTCGGTCGAGTTCGAAGATGAGAATGATTGACCGAACTATTGCTGAGTTATTGCAAAAATAGTCATTTTTCCCTATGAGAAGATAGACCCTTCTCTGTTTTCATAAAAAACTTTTCCTATCATAGTCAGATAAAACACCAACTATTATATACCATTCGATAGAGAATTTCACGAGCTACAAAATGGTATATAAAACATAAAGAAACAAGAAAGCTAACTCGCCTATTGCAAAGATAATTAATCGGAATTCGGTTCTGTTTTTGTCCACGCTCTATATGATCCACAATTAGAGCTCTCTCTTCCCATCACAGAGATGATAGTTTGAGGTTTTCTAGAATGGAGAACTCGAATCTATGTTCCATTCGCCTCGAAATTCCATTGGTTGAGCAGTGACCAATAGAAATCAAGTTATAGGAAAAACGAGTTTCTTAGGGTAAATCAAGGTGAAGAGTTCAAATCTGAGCTGTATTTGCCTCCAAATCGTATTGGCTGAGCAATAGCCAATAGAAATTAAGTGTTTACAGAAAGGGTTTGCCAGGACAATTTTGATGTCCACACATTCTAGGGTGACTCATCTGTCTCATTCACTTTTTGAAGTACACATAACTCTCGGATTTAAATCCGAGGTTTCCACATTTATTTATTTTGGAATCAGAGAAAGTGCGGTGAAAAAAGAAGTTGCTTCCCAAGCAGACAAACATTTTCAAAAACGCATTTAAGCGCACAAAAAAAGACTTAAAATCCATAAAAAGTCGGCGTGTTTGGCTCACAATCGCGGTTTCCGACTGTCAACGAAAAACGACCACTTTTTGCCCTTTTTGTGCGTTTAAACGCGTTTTCAGCAAAAGCACGCTTGTAAACTCGTATAAACGCATAAAAAGAACATAAAAAGTAGTTCTCTTTTTCCTTTTCGTAAATTGTGATTGTAATTATGGTTGTGATTTATGAGTATGAAAAAGATGACAACTTTTTATGATTGTCTTATGCGTTTACATGCGTTTATCACCGTTTTTTTGCTGAAAACGCGTTTAAACGCACAAAAAGGGCAAAAAGTGGTCGTTCTTCGCTGACAGTCGGGAACCACGATTGTGAGCCAAACACGTCCACTTTTTATGGATTTTAAGTCCTTTTTTGTGCACTTAAATGCGTTTTTGAAAATGTTTGTCTGCTTGGGTTGTGGAAGAATCGATCGTTTTTACGACTTTTTTTTGGCTGTTTATATGAATTTTTTGAGTTGTTTGTCTGCCTGGGAAGCATTTGTCTTCTCTTTCATAATATTATATCATTCACTTCATTTGATTAAGTGCAAATACAGCTCCCATAATTCACACTGTGGCAACAATATTAAGTAAATATAATCTAAAAAATTCGATTGCCCCATTTATCTGAATTCTTGACTATTGTGTTTACTGATTTTATTCGACATCATGAATCTGTTGCGATGATGCAAGATTATGATACCATTCTTCCTGATCAATATATCATTTCATGTTTATATGAATGCTGATCATACACAGAAAGTGCTTTCTTGCAAGCATAGTATTATTGATGCCAATATTTTAGATTACAATCAGTAAATTTAGTCAAAACGATCCGATGGATCAATTTTTCAATATTTTATAAAGCAGTATAAAGTCAAACACTATCTCTTTCAAAGGAAGAGATTGCTTTAGTGGATTTAAATAATCCTTCAACGAATTCTCAACATGAAAACACAGGAAAGTTTCCTTCAACTCAAGCTTCTCTTTATGCCGATACATCAGATTTATTCGATCTTAATATTTTTTCGAAAAAATTTTGTAAACACAAAAATCAACTAAGATCTCTTGATTGTTCTGATGAATTATCAGATACAGATATTTGAAATCTTGCATTTGCAACCAACAAATTTACGTACCTCAGTATCTTGTATGATGACAACAAAATTAAGTAGTTTGAAATGATTTAACACCTGAACTTCGCTCAGTTATTGTCAAAGTAATATGCAACAGGTTTGCTCAGGATAACAAACAAACTTTCATTGAGCCTTACCTGATTTTAAAACGT